TATTATGCAGTCATAAAGAACAAACATATGGACTTCACAGCAACTTGTATGCATTTAGAGTCTAGAATACACAGTGACCTATCACAAAAAGAAAGAACAGAGTTCCATATGTTCTCATTCATAAGCGAACCCTGAGCATTTACCATAATACTATAAGAAAGGAATTGGCAGTAGTGGGATGCTATGGCGGGGGGAGGAGGGGAGGACACACAACATCAGTAAAGGTACCTGATCTCAAACTAGGCCAAATGGAAACCAAAGGGAGCCCCAAACTTTACCTGTATGATGTCCACTTGTATACCTAATCCTGAATTGTACCCCTCATCTTTAAAATAATCTCTCTCTCTCTCTCTCTATATATATATGTAGATAGATAGATAGATTATATATATATATATATATAATATAAAGAAAAAACAACAACAAAAATTATGGACCACTCATATATCTGTGAAAATTGACCCTGCAAATCTCATGTTGAAATTTGACCCCAGAGTGGGAGGTGTTTGGGTCATGGGGGCAGATTCCTCATGAATGGCTTGGTGCTATCCTGGCAGTTTATAACTCAATAAATAACTCTCTGTTGGTTCCTGCAGGGCTGGTTGTTAAAAAGTGTCTGGCACCTGCCCCCAACCCCCAGCCTTTTTTTCCTGTCTCTTGCCATGTGGTTTCTTCACACACTGGTTCCCTTCCGTGCACAATGAGTGGAAGCAGCCTGAGGTCCTCACCAAAAGCAGATTTCAGTGCCATGCTTCTTACACAGCCTGCAGAACTGTGAGCCAAATAAACCTCTTTCCTTTTTAATTTATTTAGTCTCAGGTACCCCTTGATAGCAACACAAACCGGATAAGACAACCACTATTCTATCCATATACCATTTTACCTGAAGTATTATAAGACCTTAAAGTTTTAATCATGTTAAAATGTGAGGGTTTTTTTCAGTCAATCTGAAGAAACAAATTATAATTTAAAACATTTTCACTTGTTAGGAAAGATCAATACATAAGATTTGTATATTGACAGGTATATATTTTTCTATGAATAATCCACCTCCATTCACTTTGCAGCAATGATTCTCTTTCTTACAAGTTGTTTCATCTACTCAATGAATAAAATGCAACCATATTAGCTTTTTGCTTTGGTGCACCAATTTTCCAAAAGGGAAAAAAAAAAATCACATGAACAAACAAACAAATAAATATATAAAATGTTTAAAAAGAGGGTCAAATCTATGGCTGGCTGGCTAGGTCAGTTGATAGAGCATGAGACTTAAATGAGAAAAAAATCTATATTCATATGGGAGAGGCATTGATTTGTATCATGAAGAATATTGATAGACTGAAAACGATTTGAGTACAGATACAATGTTTTAGGAATTTATGCATTACTTATAGTGTGTAATGGTATTCTATACACAGTAGAACTTTAAATTCCCTTTGTTTGAAAATTGAATGCTATGCTGAAGTAATAATGATAGTTAATAAATATTAAGTGTATGGGTACCAGCACTGTACTAATGACTTTACATTGAATGTATTTAATAAGGCTATGGTGGCATTACATTTTTCCCCTTTTCTAGAGAGGTCAAGCGAAGCTAAGTATATTGCTCAAGGTCACACCACCAGTAAGTGTGTTGAGTCATGATCTGAACCCTGGCAGTCTCCAGAGGTAGGATTTTTATTTTCAACGCTAAACGACTTACTCTTAATTATTTTAACAGAAAATCACAGTGATCTGTATTTAACTGAAGAATAGATTCCTTCAGAAGTGAATGTTGAAAGTTCATTCTAGTACATTGTCCTGGCCTTTTCACTGTTAAAAGGTTCTTTGGTGCTTATTTGAAACAGATGCAAACACTTAAAACATCCATTCACATTGTGTTTCCCTGTGATTTGCTGGAGTATGTCAGGTTGCCTCCAGGAGCCCCATTTCTAAGTGACTGATTTCAGTGACTGTCTGATTTCATTCGTCTTGCTACTCCTTTACAAACCTCTAGCTTCATGAGTCTGTTACAGTATGGTTGATCAGCGGTTCAGTAGCTTCTCTTGCCAATATTCTCTCTCTGTCTGTTGTAGAAAGCTTTAGGGAAACCACGAGAAGAAACTGAGTGGGTTTTTCAAAGCGCAGTTTCTTCAACCAAGCCTGTTGGCACGACATGGTGATGGGCTAACAACAGTACAAAGTTTATTCTCGCATACTTTCAACTCCAGAAATTACTGAGAGTTACTTAAAAGCCTTTGCCTTTCAGGAGGTTTGCTTTTCTTCTAAGTTATTGTTCTTTAGTAAACTTAAGATCAAATTGACCTTCTCTGTTCATGAATCTTGCCTTTTAGTTCTTTGTTTTTATTGCTTGCTTAATTCTTTGGATTATTAAACTGTTACATTTTATATTTTTGCGTGCAGAGTGATGGGGCAGGGAAGTGTCACTATGAGTCCTCAGTATGGGGCAATCTTGTCTCTTCTCCCTGAGAACAGATTCATGACAGTATCATTTTGATGCACTTTATTTCTCTCTATGGTAACAGGAATGATTTAGCAGGAGTGTTTGGTTGGTCAGAGTTTCTGGTTAATAAAAATATGTCATGGATTTAGAGGATAAAAAATAATAAAAATATACCATGTACTAGTCAAAACATCATCTTTTTTTGGTGATTAAAAAGGCCCTTCTGAATCTTGGTTTTTGTCAAGGTTATCCCTGTGTTTATCAGTTAAAATTTGTGAAATGTTTTAGGTAACAACTAAAGAGGATATGTATAGAATATAGTTAGATGTACTGAAATTATCTTTTTGAGTCATTTGTGCTAAGAATAGGGAACAGTCTTTCACACAGTGAAGCCTCAGGCTACTTCTGTCCCAAAGCTACAAAATGGTAGGAGGAATCTAGTGAAAACGTCCTTCTTAATAATGAACTCCTTCCAATATGTTGGCACCTGTATCCTTTAAATGGGAACTGTACTCTTTTATTCGTGCTATCTTTTGTATGTTTTTATCATTGTACTTGTACGCTGTAATTGTACGTTGTCTTGTAATTTTCTGTTTATGTATGCTTCCAGGAGTGAGATTTATTCTCGTATCTTGCCTTCAGACCTGACTAGAATGGCAAATCTGCAACTTTCCAACATGTTTTGTTAATGATAGAGACACAAATTGTGATATTGTATTTAATTTGGGTTCTCTTAAAAGTGTTTAAGGTGATATTGCTTATTTATTTTCAATATTAAATGTAAATATTGTCATGGCAGCTTGGGAGTTCTTGTGACACTCACTTTTTATGTAGGTGAATGTCTGTCTGAGGTTTAATTTTTCTTTCCATTTTCTAGTTCATTATGGTATGGAGTAGCATTTCATTTTTTAAGGATACTTATGACCTTGTTAAATAGCAGTCCAAAAATCGTGTGGCTTGTTTTGATTTTAACCAAAGTTACAACTGCCTAGCTGTAAAGCAGTCAGTTTCTCTTATTATGACTAGTTCTTCAACTTGTACTGTTTTAAATTGCCTGCAATTAGCATATTTCAACCTTATTTTTAGGTTTAAATTGCAGTGTGAGAGTGTACTCTCCTCTTAGCTAATTAGTGCTATCAAGGAACAGTAGGCTACCTCATTAGTACCATGTGCATTTAATTAAAGAAGAGAAAATTGGAGTTAACCTCATAGTTAATATTTTCACAGAGTGCTACAATGCCAACACCTTCAATTGGAGTCACACCCCTGTGTATCTAATTATGCACTGGTGCCAAATAAGGTTAGCAAGGGTACCACAAGGCTGTTGACAAAATAATTTAGATGAAACTGTGTTTGTTGGATTCTGACAGTCAAATATAACTTAAACATTTTCCCCCAGTCTTCATCTGCCAGCATCAGGTGACATACTTCTTCCTAAGAAAGAGAAGAGGATGTTTTGGAAGCCATTTTTTCTGTTTGAATTAACGTTGCTCTTATCTTGGAGAAAATGACATATATTCATGTAAAGCATATACAATCCATTTCTTAAACAGAGCTGAACTTCATAGATGTATTTGAAAAGAATTATTTATAAGGTGTAATATTTACATGCATCAAACCACTACAAATACTCCCTGACACCCTTAACACATCCCCCCTTGCTTTTCTTCTTTTCTGGTATAGTTATAATTTCCCTTGTGTATCTTATGAATGGGGATCATCCTTTCATATCACACATGAAGTCTAAGGATGTGTTGTCACATGGTGTATTCAAATGCAGTGTAATCCTTTTGCCCTTCAGACAAAATCTTTGAAATGTCTAATACTACTTAGGTAAAAAATGACATTCCGTGTCATTTATCAATAAATAATCACTTTGCTTTTGCAGATAGAAATGCAAACTATACATGAGTGTATGGAATAGTTTTCAGTGCAAATGGTACAGTTCAACAGGTTTTAACAGATGTTATGGCCATAGTCTTAGATATATTTTAATGACAATAATCATGGTATAGTAATGCATAGCCAAGGCAGCTTACTTAAAGAGATTATTGTGATTGTTCTCACATTATGTGGCAGGCCAGGATTTCTGTTCATTTTATTGGTTATATTGATACAAGTCAAAGGTTACTGGTTTCAAAATTCAGTAAAGACAATTAAGTTTTAAGGACAAATAGCACCCCTCTTTAAGCACTCTAAAATTGCAGTGCCATTTAAATACATAGAAGTATTTATAAATATTGGCCTTAATTTTAGCCTAGAATAGGGAAATAAGGTTCCTAAGGCCAGTATTGGGGAACATAATCAGTGAATTTTTGGTTATTGGGTTAATTTATTATGATTCAAATATTCAACTTCACATCTGCCAAATTACTGCTATTTTAAGATCTATACTAGTATTAACTATGAGACAAAAATGGAATAGTCTTGTCTATTTTGATGTATACCAAGATAATAATGCCCAAAAATAATTTTTTAAAATGATATGTACATGATTCACATAAGCCTTAAGATTGAAAAAAAAAAGCCAACTCCTGATTCTCTTTGTTTAACCTAGGAATTGCTTCCAGAAACAAAATTATGTGTCTGTGGCCACTCCTCTGGTGATGGGCATCCTCACAACACATTTGCAGTAAGTCACATTGGGCAATAAGAAATTTAGTTATTAAGCACAAGGCCATAGACCCAATCTCACTAAATAGGTTATCTGTGATGTTCTATAGCCAATCCCTTCCATTGGTGCGGATAAGCAAGATATGTTAAGATATGTCAAGATACAGATGTGATTAGCTGATTTCTGTTACTTCTTTTGTTCTCACTGAAATCATGTCATCAAATATACAGTTCACAGTTTCTGTGAGTTGATAGCATTAACGTTTACCTTAAATATGTAACGACTATCACCACTACACTTTTCTTGAACTTTTAGGAAAAACTTGAGGAAAGAGTGCTGATATGCAGAAAATAAATAGAGATTTTGGATTGATACAACACATATTTTGGAAAAAGTTGCTTTTCCATGGTCTGCAAGTTGCCAGATAAATATGCCAAGGCTTTATTATTATTATTATTACATATTCTGCCACTAGAGTGTAACTTGTCACTTTGGACTGTAATGTTCAATGGAAACTGCTTAGCAATTCTGAAGTGTTCATTCAAGAATTTTTAAATGAAGCAATTTTTTGTTTCTATTTAGTATGTTTCTATGTGTATTCTTAAGAAATCTTTAAATATGTAAAGTCATGTATTTTCATGTATAATCAGTCCGCCATATTCATGGGTTCTGCTTCTGTGGAATTCAGTCAACCACATATAGAAAATATTCAAGGAAACAAAATGGAAGGTTGCATCTGTACTGAAAATGTACAAACATTTTTCTTGTCATCATTCCCTAAGCAATACTGTATAACAGCTGCTTACACAACATTACATTGCATTAAGCATTATAAGTGAACTAGAGATGATTTAAAGTATACAAGAGGATGTGCACAGGTTATGTAAAAATACCACACCATTTTGTATAAGGGATTTGAGCATCCATGGATTTTGTTATCCATGGAGTCCTGGAATCCGTCCCCACAGAACAACTATACAGAATATTTGCTTGTCTCCTTAAGAATTGATGTGCTTATTTTGTATCAATGGACTAGAGTGTTCCTAAGTTGAGTAATCCCAAATTTATTTCTTTGCTGCTCTATACATAACATTTCCTAATAATAATAGATAGAACATAACAAAATTAACACTCATAAATTATCTTCCTGAATGAAGAAAAAATTTCAAATTCATACATTTGCTTAAAAAAAAGAAACCGTTTATAATAAAAGTGTCAAATAATATATATAATATAATGACCTAAAATAGATAACTACTTATTGAAAATATGAAACAAAAAATTTAAATGCAATACAAAAGTGAGTTCTGAAATGGAAACTGTAATCACATGTACTATAGATATATAATATATTATATAGATACATATAATAACATGTACTATATCTACATTCACTAGACTAGTGAATGTAGAAGGCTAGTAAAAATTACTGCTTATGAAGGTTTCAGGATGATCTAAAAGTATCTGGTTTGGAGTCTCATTTATTTTAAATCTAAAGTATTTGGCCCTTCTGAGATTTCTGTGTAATAGCATTTGAAAAAAATAGCAAAAATTAAAAAGTGGTGACATGTTTTGCTGAAGGAATATAGTTAAATTAATGTGGAAAGTTAAAATAATCTTAAGTTCTAAATATTCTCTGTATTTGTTTAAAGGAAGGTAAATTTAAGGTAAACTTAAAATATAATTATATACTTTAACTTAATAAAAAAAAATAATTTAAAGTACACTTTAAAAAGTAGTGCATTGGTAACACTTTATCCTAAATGGAAGAATTTCTTTTGTTAGACTGAAGAGTGAACTGACATAAATAATAATAGTGTTTGTACTTTATCTAAAACTACTTCTACCATTTAAAAAATTCTCTATTCTGCTGATGAGGAAAAAAAAAATATCTATGGCATCAGATCTTTATATTTTCACTGACATATTTTCAGAATAAAAATGAGATGTGGAGAAATTAAGTGCTTCACCAGAGGTCATATTATTCCTTAATCATAAGGCTGGATATATAGCCTGAGTTTGAGATCACCAGTGTACTGGTCTTTCCAAGGATATACTAAATTGTTCATGGCTGCCTTGTTCATGGTTGGATAGGAGTCTGAAGTTCTTCCATGTTTCTGAGGCTGCATCTCATCTCTCAGATAGAAAAAGTACCAGGAGGAGTTAGTGCAGTCTGCTACTGCTGGGGCGATGGAGGAGCATGACAATGCATGTACTAGATGTTCTCCATCTGTTCAGTATGCCAAGCCTAATACTTCAAATTAGTCGCTTTACAAATGGTGCTTCTTGACTTCACAACACACATGTAACTTATTTTTTTGTTATTATTACTTTAGCTATTGACTTCCTGCAAGGTAAAAAGGCTACATAATGTAATTTAAAATCAAGACACTAACTAAAACTAATACTATCTGTTATTTACAGTTGACAGTTTATGTGTGATGGACATGGTTTTCTTCTAGTATTCATTCAATCTTTAAAGTGTCAATATGCCAGAGGGCTAGTCTACCAAGTCTGGAGCACTATAAGCTTACTGGTGGACTAGAGGGAAGAAAGGTATAGAAAGGATTCTAAAGAGCCACATTGCTTTATCACCTATGTAACTGACATGTATACTAAATTGTGAATCTTGGTAATAGTTCTCATGTAGGGTCTTTTAAGCGACCCTACATAATGCCTATCAGTGGGTTAATTTAATACCACACATAATATTTTCATGGTTAGTCAACCTTCACACACACACAAGCCAAAATTTTCAGGCATGTATTACAAATTGGCAGATTAAATTAATTTTTTACTCTTCCTTCCACCCCACTTCACTTAAAAAATAAAACTCCTTTAAGTTTAGTAACAAGCTTGAGGTAAAGTGCCGTCCGTGTAAGTGAAAGAAAGCCACTGACAACTACTGAATGTAGATTAAAACCCAAATTACCTTAAAGAAAGAGTATTACATAATTGATATTAAACAGATGTCAAAAGCTCTTCATAGTACTATCCTCTTTCAGGTATTAATTGTATCAAGTTACTAACAAAACATGCAATAAAAATGTATTTCATAGGGTTATTTTCTGGCATCTTGGTTTATTGATTACCATCAAAGGTTAGCCATCCTCTGAGTATGGTACCATATTGTCACATTATTGAACAGTAGTGATATTTAATGAACCCACTAATAAATTATATTTAGTGTGCCTCTACAAGTCAGCTCATTGCAATACTGGGCAGTAATTATATGTACTTTACAGTTTTCTTTATAAGAAAACTGTAGTCTTAATTTTAATCTACTTGTCATATTTAAAGGAAATATTGGGTTCCATAGGTTGTATATTTAATATTCTGAGAGTAATAATATAATACCCTTACTATGACTTTGCATTCCATAGAAAATATCATTAATGTCTGGTTTTAAAAGATAAGCATATGAGCATAAGAGAGGTTCATTGTGAACGATTTCCTTCCAATGCTTACTGTTTACATTTAGTTTTTCAAATATTTGTTTTAACTTGAAAAATAAGTTTTACTTATTTTACTTTTCTTTCAAATTTTAGTATTAGGATAGATGCCTTTCTTTTTTTCCTGATATATCAAACAGCTTTACAAATGGCTAACTATGCCAGGATACTATATTTCACAATTTTTGACTTCCCTACCACAAGATAGTAACCCAAGCTCACTACTTTATCTTGCTATATCTTGCTGACACCTCATCTGCCCAAATGACCTCATTAACACCTATCTGCAAATAATCTTATTGTTAGTCTTGCCTACAGGTTTTTACTGAAGTGAATACTACTTTACATAGGATTCTGCCTGTTGACTCAAACTGCTATGGCAATTATCTTTGATGCTCAGGGTCTTTGTCTTTTGGCTCTTACTTTTAAAACCTTTAGTACTGGGCCAAATGAATCTTTTGAAGAACAAAATATCTTCGACCTGTAATCTGAAAATAAAACTTGGCTGGCCTTCATCCAGCTGCTTTATATTCCATTCAAATTAAATTATACCGACTACATTTGATCTTTCCTCCTATAGATCTTTATTAAAATTACTTCCTGAATGTTTCATTTTTAACAAGGATTCAGGATTAGAAGAATTAAGGAAAAGGGGATGGTGGTGATTTTTAAGAATATATACTTATTTATTTTTATTTATTTATTTTTTCCTGGCTGGGCATTGTGGCTCATGCCTATAATCCCAGTACTTTGGGAGGCTGAGGCAGGATTGCTTGTGCCCAGGAGTTGGAGACTAGCCTAGAGCACACAGCAAGACCTCATCTCTATTTTAAAAATTTAAAAAATACAAAATTAGCCCACTGTGGTGGTATGTGTCTATAGTCCCCAATACCCAGGAGATTGAGGCTACAGTGAGCTGAGATGGTGCCACTGCACTCTAGCCTGGGCCACAGAATGAGATGTTGTCTCAAAAAATAAAAAGAGCTGTTTTTTTGTTTTTTTCAACTTATCTCTATTTAGGCTTTACATAAATCCTACCCAGCACCAAATAACCCATCCTGGGGCTCTGGAATCAGTCTAATGGTTTGATTATTGGGCAAATTATTTGACCTTTCTTAACCTCATGCTCACAATTTGTAAAATTAGAACCATAACAGTACCTGCCTCATAGGGTGATAATGGGAATTAAATCTGATAACCCTACAAAATACTTACCACGATGATTAACACAGTGTGCAATGGATGTTGAGTCAGTATGTGTAGTAGCATCAATATACTCTTGCTTGAACAAAAGAGGCAATTCTGTTTGATGGAAATTTAAATATTTTTAATATTAACACTAAAAGAAGCATTGTATCTTGGGTCAAAACAGATGGCAGTGTTCCCCACTGAGAGTCTTTAAATTAATTAATTTAAGTTGAGCATTGACTTAGTCACTTGCAAAAATCAGTGTTAGTCAAATACTTTCTGATTTGCTAAATGAAAGAAGGCTGAGTGAAAGACTCAGAACTCTTCCTCGCCAGACTTAAATGATATCTGGCAGCCAAGAGGAATCATGGTTCAAAT